CCGTCTGACCACAGACACTGAGTTAGGAAATGACAGCAAATCAGCATCCTCCTCAGAGGATTCTCTCAGGCTCCAAGGGTCGGAATTCTCAGAACGCAGCTTGGAGAAAACTGGAGATGGAGTTAAGCCTACTCCCTTTTGAAACCAGATTACTCAACAAAGGTGTAAAAATGCTATACAAATATATACAGATATATTTGGACAGCATATGTACGTATATATGCATATATGTATATATATATATATATTACATACATAGTAGTAAAGGAGAACAAAGTCACGCAGAGTTAATAACATGAAGGAAACCGTGACAATCTAGGTGAAGTCAGTCTGAGTAAGAGGGGCAACCTAGCTTACACAGGAACACGGGGATCTGCAGACACAGGGTTATGGTTTGAGAAAGGCTTTCAATGCGCTGATACAAGGTTGAGAATGCAGTACACTAGAGGTCAGGAGCCACCAGCAATATGAAGGATTGCTAGTTACTCCTCACAAACATAAAACCAGCCAACGAAAAGACGTGCACTCCAAACATGAAACATGCATTGCTTCGAGTGGAACATCGTTAACAAAGGAAGATGTCTAGTGAGGTTTTCTTAGAAAAATTCAGACCAACAGGAAGCTACCCCTTTCCTATAAAACACACACGCTCACGTCCTAATGCTACCACATTTTCTCTGACACGCTGAAAACACTCTGTGGTGGGGTGTGCGTATGCGAGTGTATATACACTGTTCATTAAGGCTTACAGAAATTAAAAAAGTGGTCCAAAGTATATCACATTTCTTCCCAGTTTTAAAATCGAAAGTACAAAGTAGAGTTTATAAGGACTTATTAAAAACACATTTCAGTCCTGAATTGGCAGTTTTGACATATCAGGAAGTACCCCAATGCCTGAATGAGAGAGAGGTAGTGCTTGATCTTCAGGGGGTCAGGAAGGGAGAAGGCCTGACAGTTACCCTGTATGGCAACACCCCCTACTGGCAAAGCAGAAAAGGATACCACACAGCATCCTGCCCCCTCTCTCAGTACAGGGGGTGCAGAGTTAGGGTGAGGATGAGACAGGAAGAGAAAGAGGGGAGCTGGCACAGTAGGGGCAGGCTGGCCAACTGATTAATCCAGGCTATAGACTTTAACAATTCAGAGGTGCGATCTAAGACTGAAGACAATCCAAGAACCAAGCAGTACCTGCTAGAACCATCAGCAGATTGCTGCGGATGTACTTGGGTTTCCAGAGAGCCAATGTGGATCTGGCAAGACCAAACAGCAATGGTCCACGGCTGTGTACGTAACAGCATGAGATGGACAAAGGGGCTCAGATACTTTGCAAATCATTTCTCAGAACCTACTGCTGCATCTTTGCACAGGGGGAAAGATCCACCTCACAGTCACTTTGTTATTCCCCATCTGAACTTAGGAACTATCTGATGTCACCTACCAAAGGGCTTGGGAACAAACATGAGATAAGTGATTCATTGCAGGACTGGCTGCAGAAAAGTAAATGTCTGGGGCAAAAAAAGGGGAAGAGCACTGAAGCTGGATGCTGTCTAAGACAGACAAATGCCACACGGTTGCCTGTTCCTGAATCAGCAGTGGAGAACCAGCACATGTCCAGAGTTTATCCTGCCGGTGAACTTTCTAAATGCATCCTCAGGCCCAGAGAATACAGGACATTAAAAGGACTTTGTCATGCAGTACGTGAGCTCTGGCATGCACTTAGCCTCAAGGTGAACGGCCCAGAACAACTATAGGTTACGCAGGGAACTAAAGAAACTGGGTTATGGTGATTCTACAGCTTGAGAGAAAGGAGGGGCTAGAGAAATCTGCTGGGACCTCCTCCAGGGACTGGTAGAGGCCCAAGGAACGGCCCAGCAACATGCTCAGTCTTTCCACCGTGCAATTTTCTTGACTGCATCTGCAACAACGTCGTGAAGGTGCCCGAGGATGGCCATTGAGATTTTGAGAACACAAGATACATGACTAATTTTAGCCAAAGAATGAAACTTCAAGAACAGCTGAGGACTAGTGAAATTGATTTTGGTTTAAGCCCTCCTCCAAGCCCAAACCCAACAATATTTAGTTGCCATTAAAATCAGATGCTCTTTAGGAATAGAAGAACTGAAGTGGCATTCACGATCGCTACCTTTCAAGTGTTCACAGGGGAATATTTTGATAATTCTTGTCTGCTTCTGGCTTAGAAATGATCAGAATGGTTTGTCTTACATCATTTCAATACTTGGCCTAATGGCATTGAGTGACTATTCTGATTTTTTTCAATATATGGTTTACAAAGTGACAGAAGAACTGCAGTAGATTAGCATTGGATTTCTCCCTTCTAATTGCAGGATCACTCTCAAAACCCACTGAAGCTACTGCTCAACTCAGGCAGTGGCGAGATTCTTAAAAGGAAAACTGACTCTGGACTATGGGACTTACACAAAGAAGAGTTTTGCCATTGAGACACTTGTTATGCAGACCTAGGGGGGAATATCTTAGTAACAGACAAAAATAACTAGCAGTATTACTTTTTTTTATAATTAGGTAACATCTAAGGTTTTGAACACTACTAGGTATTTTGAAACCAACTCTTCAACTCTTCAGAAATCCACCTTCTCTGAGAACCCTCAGGCCTCTGCATCCCTTTAGATAACTCATTTGCAGTGACAAATATTCATGATTTCTCCCAGACCACCCCAAATTGGGTAAAAAAGAGTGATTTCTGATTTTGTCTACCAGAAAGGTCCTTCTTACATAACACAGTTCCTGAAACCACAGTGTTTTGTCTTATTTATGACTGGCAAGAGCTCCTGTCTTAGTGTTCCCTAATTGCCACGACAGTATTTAGAACTGTACAAGAAAACAGGATGGCAGAGTGGTTGAACTACCACATGACCTTAGGCGTTTTCTCAAAACATGACAGCATTCGGCAATGAAGACTTGACAGGTGGGAAAGAATCCAGCTGGGTAGATAGATCCTCTCAACCCTCCGCCATCCCCAGCTTAAGCAGCTTTGACCCTCGTGGGTTGCCGTGAGTACCCTCTCTCTGTTTTCCTCTAGCACACAATAGACACAGCTCGGGCAGTCCACAGTACTGAAGCATGCACCGGTCACAGGTAACGACACTTGCTTAGAGTAAGCACATATTAAATAAATGCCGCGGAGTAGGAATCACGAAACAACCAGCGAGGACAGGTCTGTAGGCTCAGCTTTACATCGGGTTTTTATAAACCAGCAGCCAGTCACAATGGATCGCGACTGCACCAGAAAGCCGTATGCAGGGAGAAGAAATCAGCATTCACATCAAACGTTCATGATGAAAAACAAACCACAAAAGAACCAGACGTGACCTCCGTGTAGTACATAAAGTGCCTTCGGAACTGGTGCACTTAGAACAAAAATCGGTTCTCGAGCGACCATTAGCAAATACATACAAACAGGTGACGAAACAGATCTGGTTTCCACAGTTTCCAATCAAGCAGTGCTGAGTTTCATTCAAAATGTCTCTAGTACAAACAGTGAAGGGGGTAAACAGACTAAAAGAAGGACTGTACAGCTTCAGGAAGGGTGAAGTCTTTTCTCTCGTGAGAAAGGATAGTCCAACCCTGTCTCAAATGTGTTGTAGCACACATAGTTACTGCTAAGGAATAATGGTGTGGTTCCTTCCAAGTCAATACAAAATTTGTCATGCTATGGTACAATTCTCACAGCCTGTAGCTATGATCTAAGTGTGTACAAAACAAAAACAGAAACAAAAAGACACCAGTATGTCAGTATTTCCCAGTTTGTTTTCATTCTGAGTACTGGGGGAAAAAAAGATCATTATGCCTAATGGTGCATGTGAAATTCTCTCAGAGTATGTGTCTGTAGGTTTTTGGACAAAAATTAGTCTTCCAATTTTAATAAAGTAGAGGGTAGGCGTGTCAAAATGCTCCAAAAATAAAAATGCCACTGACATTAAGCTTGGTATGAAATTCAAATACCAAAAAAAAAAAAAAAAAAAAAAAAAAGTCAACTTTCCCA